TAATATCTGCAAGCAAAAGAGGATCTTCTTCACCTATATTTTTTGCCATTTTATATAGAACTTCAGTAGCCGAAATAATGTGCATTGCGGTCTCCAGTTTTACTCTCAAGCCATACGCCCAAACGGGAAACCTTCTTTTCCCAACTTCAAAACATCTTTCGATCACGTTTTCTGTTCGAATATGGGACATATTGTATAGCCTTTCGGCTCTTGTTGCAGGATTAACTAAAAGGGCGAACAAATAGGGTCTAAGACCATAGCCACTGTCACCCGTAATAAAAAAAATCAAGAAAATATACTAAACGGTCCCTAATCGGGCGCTAATCAGCCAAAAAGTGCCGGTTAATATAATCGTTGTGTAGAATACACAACACAGTGGTTAAGCGACGGTACAACACATTTTTCAAACTAAACGACGATTAAATTTTTAATCACTGTTTAGTCAAGCGGTGCAACCGGGCATAAGCCGCTCTTTCAGCCTGAGCTCCACTATCTGTGCAGACTCTCGGCTGGGGCTTTACGAGGAACTAAGACGATTCGAACATCGATTTTCCATTAGCCAAGGCCTGGATGGACCCTTATAAGCCCTTTAAAATCCACCCCGGCAAAAACGACAACTGATTCCGAAGCCACCGATGCCCTTCGCCGCCGTCAAATAAGACAAATTTTCGCTACAAACAGTCGCGCGTGCTGTTCAATTACCGATATCCTATTAAATTCAGTTCAAAGGCCTGCGGCAATTTCCAGTCGGATCGATTGCTTCCGCAGCGTGCTCTAGAAAATTACCCTCCAAACCCCACACTAATAAGAACTCACAACTAATAACCAATAGCTGAGAATCCACCCTTAAAGGGCCCGAACTGCCAAAATTTCAGTCGGATCTGCACTGCAAAAGGTGTGGCCTTTGGATGGAATCTCCAGATAATAATTACAAAAGCGGGCTTTTCAAGTGGAACACTGTTAAAAGGGGGGATTTTTCCGGGCTGCGGCCCATGGATGGAGTACTTTTGGCAAATAAATTGAATTAATTGAAAAGCCAGGAAGAATAATTGGGTGGCTGTTCATTTGGGGCAGCGCGAACCTTTGCATCAAGCAATTGGCGATTTTCCTTTGGGCTTTGATCAAGTTAATAGCAATTGGCCGAGGGCGAATATCGAACATGAATCCCAACGAAGGCCGGATTGTTTTGCAAATAGATGTGAGTCACAGTGGCTCAAAGACTTGTGGGGATCCTGCGAGAAAAACACCTTGAGGACGACCGCGATTCGAAACTTATCGCCGTCAGAGGAGAGCAAGGCAGGTAGGATTTGAGTCCGATCAATTTATCAATCATCCAAAGCCAGTTAGGAAGAAAAAACCCTCCCACCGTCTGAGTAATTAATATCCGCGCCCGAAGTAAATCTACTCCTTCGAGGGGGTGACAAATTGCTGGGAATCGAAGCAACTGTAATCCAATTATCATGGGCAAAAAACGCCAAACCGATTAATTAAAGCTGTCCAGCAACATTTTTAATTAATTTCCGAAACTTTTCCCATAATCGGCTGGGAAAGTCGGCAAAAAGCCCCCGAAAACCGCTTAAATGACCACGAAAACTCGATCTTTATTGGTACATCTCAAGTGTGATGCAAAAATCCTTTCACTGCGCCTTAAAACCCCAAAAATCACTAAAGTCGAATAATCAAATTCACTTCGCGTTCCCAATGCTGGCCATAAAAGTTTCCGGTTTGCACGCCATTGCTCGCATAGTAGGCCCTTTTTCGACAGCGCTATGGAATTGCAGCCGAACTGGCAGGCCTATAAGCGCTAAATCGCCGGTTATACGGCCGATTTGTGCCAGATTATTCGACGATTTACGGACAAGGCACAAGATTAAATTGCGGAAAAGTTGATCATTTGACCTTCCAGTTGGTTCCAGTTGATTGATTGAACCTTCTAAGTCAGTTCAGATGCCATTTGATCAAAACATTCGGAAACTTACCGTGAGATTTAAAGGGGGCGCCAGCTGCTCGGCCCCTGTAATGACAGTTCTGACAGTATTCGGGTTAATTTTAACGGTGTCGGATGTGGCGCCCCCATCCAGTACGGTAACGGCAAAGTTGTACTTGGTGCAGTACTGCAGGTCGATAATGAGGGCGCTGACATTGGGCGTGGTCAGCTTCGGATCTGGAAAAAAGGCGTGAAAACGATCAAAAGAATGCTGGTGGGTGTGATGTGGTTGCATCGATCGTTCGACCATTTATTTGCCATCACAATTGACATTCGAAGCTCAGTTTCGCGTGGCAAAAAGCGAAATTGAGAATATCGACAGATATACGATATATTATATATGGAATCGACATAACATAAATGCTTCAACTATCGGAAAACCGTTCCAGTTGAAAGGCATTCGGGCGACATTTTTCGTTTAATAGATATCGGGTTGTCAGCCAATGGAAACGGCATTGTACAATGTATAGCGCGTGCAAAAAAGATCCGGATATGTTTTCAGTTTATTATTTGGCGCTCTGGGTTGTTTGCTCGCTTTTATTCGCTTCGGAGTAGGCCTGGGTAACTCATTTAATTTTTAGGAGTTGGCGCAGTGCTACGCAAGTGGCTTGGTCGCGCAGTGACTTCCTATGTTAAGGGCCATTTATCCACAATATTTTAAAAATTTCTTGAAAATTTGAGAATTTTCCAGTTACTCTTTTTTCTAAATGCTCAATTAAAAAAAAACACTTTTGGGCCAGAGAAAACAAAAGCGTATAATCAATATTTGGAAAACTCGTCACCATCATAGCTCTGAATTTCCGGACTATTCCGCCATGTCTGGTATAGTAGGCCCATTTTTTGACAACCCAATGTTATTGTGGCCAAGCGGCCAGGCCTACAAGCGCCAAATCGCCGGTTATACGTGTGATTTGCTCAACATTTTTCGACGATTAAACCAATCAAGTTCGTCAAATTGGATTATGAAGTGGATGAAATCAGTGGATTAAATTGAGAAATTAAGAGCAGAAAATTTACGCTGGAGAGTCTGATTTTTGCGCCTAAAACGCGAAAAGCCGCTGATGTTGACCTTGCACTTTCTAAAGAGCTCTTAACGTCTGAACAAACTGTTAGAAATAGTAATTTCACAGCCAGCTTTTGCAGAAATTTCCCTAAGAAGGCGATAGGCTAATTATGCGAGGCCGGCAACTGACGGCTGCCATCGAGAGCGGCACCTCAAATAATTGGCTCTTTATGCTATTCCATTCTCCGGGGTCTCCGGATTCTCTATTTTATCCTCCGGGTAGTCAATGCCGGCAAATGATTGCAAACTTGCGTGCGTGAAAAAGTCCGCTTTTAGGCCACGATTGACACGCCAAACTGGTGGTGAATTTCGGTTATTTATGAATATTTTCCTTTTCCAGCCCTCGGCAGTTGGAGTCTCAACCAATCGAACGCACTTATGAAAATTCATGTCAAAAACCAGTCGATTTTTTGCAGCCGCATTTCCCATCGAATAAATGCAGGTATACACAATGACACCGATAATAATTGCTGTTTTGCAATATTCAACAAATCAAAGCTTGCAAAACAATCAGCCGCACAAAATGCAAATCGAATTAAAACGTGCAAAATCCCAATTGATGTTTATGCATGGATTTTTGTCGAAATATCGCGTGTTTATGCGGCAGCGACTCGGATTTTCGGTCGGTTTAACGGTTTAAGGCCCCAAAAAATCGTCAAATCTAACTGGGCCAAATCATTACCAACAAAAACTTTCATTTAGAATATGGGGTTAGTTGAATCACTCTAATCAGTTTTTCTTAAAGCCTGTGTGTTATGCATCCGTTTATACGATGGTACGATGCTACGAAAGTGTTTCTATTGGTTGGAGATCTGTCAATTCGTCCGTCGTCGTATGACGTGGACGAATTGACAGATCTCCAACCAATAGAAACACTTTCGTATCATCGTACCATCGTATAAACGGATGCATGGGAAAAAAGCTTCAGCCATGAATATTTACATTCCAAGTCGCCATCTTCTGAGCCAAAGTAGACGCCATAGGTGAGATTAGCGCCGTTCGGCATACCATCGCCCCCCCACACCACTTGCACGGCATTACTGATACCGGGTGGCACAAAAATGGCTAGAATCTCCACGCTAAACGGACCAATGGGCGGCTGGGTGGTGTCCATAGGGGTGGGCAAGGTGGTGGCGCTTTCATCGGCAAGTTGCGACCCCACTGGCAGCTGAAACCAAAACAAAACACCCTCAGATCCATCCATCAACATGGAGAAATGCAATCAAAGGCTGCGCTGTCCATTCATTAAGCGTCAAAGGGAGGGGACTTTTCTAAGCGCAAAGTCGTCGAAAAGTGACATGCTTAAAATCCAACATAACCTGTGAACTCTTATCAGCACTACTGGCTCACATGTTGATGGATGACTTTCCGAACAATCACCCTGTATATAAAATTGCGCTTAAGAGTAATGAAAATTAGGGTTTTGCCCGAACCTGCTTCACAGCCGTAAAACCCAACATCAGCTTTTACGACTCGCAACGATCAACGCGAAAAATCAACTTTAGGACTCCTGCAACTACGTAGTGTGCAGTTTAACGGTTTTACTCTCGTGCTCCAGTTTATGCGGCTTTTAAAGCTAAACTATAATTTTACGACAAACAAACCTGTTTAGAACAGTCGAAATGAAACACTGCAGCAACTAAAGGCTACATAAAACAAAACGGCTTCTCGCAAATGTCATCAGGCAGATTGACAGATGCTGTCAGCTTTAAATCAACTGTTAACCAAAACGATTAAAATGCGATTGAAGTGAAGTTCGGTAGCGGACAACCACGTGTGTGTGTGTGTGTGCAGTGGAAATCCATTATTCCAGACGTGAGTTTGTCCAGATTGAATTTAGTGGCGAATAATCCGTTTCCGGCTAACAAAAAGCCGGTTAGTTGGGCAACAAAGTTAGATGCGATCTATTTTTTGGTTTATTCCATTGGACTGTTTTATGGGTGTGGTCCGCTCACTAGTTAAAAGTTGCCAAATGGGATTATCAACAATCTGATTGGGTTTTAAACATCAGGCTTGGCTCTTTAATGATATGTAATAAGTGCATCCTGTCCTCGAATTGTGTGTAAATGTTTATTATGCGCAAGGTTACCGGCGCTGAATTGCTCAAGTTTGATGAGCTCAAGGTCCTTTGACATCAGTGACAACAGCTGTCAGTATTGGCATTTGCCAATGTCAGTATTGACATACTTGACACTTGAGTGACAAGGAGTGGTGACTAGATGAAAAGCGTTTTTGAACTTGAAGCTGTTTAAGTAGCGAAATTGTGGAAACAATCGGAAACTTACGCAAAATATGAACAGGGCGCGCACTAGTATTGCACTAAAACGCATCATCACGCCGTCGCCCGTTAATTTAATTGAACTATTAAGCGGTAATTTAGCCATAATACTGTTATAATGGTGCGGCGAAAAATGGCAAAACCGATGCATATTTTCAATGTCGGACACCGTAAAGCGGACAAGATCTCATGCGTGAAAAGCACACACACGGATGATGGCACTTTGACGCAATTATGCGATTTTCATTAGAAACAGTTCGCTTGATAACCTAATTTCGCAAATTGTTCCGTACTAATCCGGCCAACTTGGCTGTCAACTGTCAAGATGGATCCTGAGTTATTGGCACGATTCCATATTTCTCGGAGGCAAAATGAGCAAAAACGCTCATGTGTACATCATTCTAGAGAGAAATAAATGGCCTTTTTAGAAAGTGAATCATCGATAAGAAAATGTGACAATCACGCAGGAACCCTACTATTGTGCAAATAACGCGAAAACGAAGACAGATACGAAAAACCTGCAAGGGATCAGAAAATTCTTGCAAAAATTCGGTCGAACGAGGTCAGTGGCGCAACACAAAAAAGTTTGGGGGGGGTAAAAGGGGTAGGCCTCTGTAAAAAGGAAGACCCAGTAGAGTTTCACAACTAGTCGCTCCACCTACGGGTAAAGGGTGCAAACTTTAGCCAACATGAAAAATTTGAGCAAAATATCTGATAAACTGTAGAAGTTAAAGCGAAAATGCCATTTTTTTTGGAAGTTCAACACCCTGTATCTCGTTAAAAACTTAAATGGAAACTCGACTTGTTTTGAGGTCCTCTACAGGGTCCACACATCAGGGTCAGAATCAAACAAAACTGCAAATTCGAAAATATATATTTCTAAAACTAATTGCAATTCAAAGAGCCCTCAATCCATGTTTACGCAACATCCGCCTCATCACAAAAGGCCTCCGTCATCGATTTAGAGCGTCTTTTTCTAGATCTGTCGTTTCCATTACTTGTTTGAGTATTTTCGGTCAAAACCGCCTCGCCTGGTCAGTCTATTTTCTGCGCTCCAAAGCCACATGCAGCCCATTTACCGGACGCAACACTATTTCAATGGTGTACTTAATGTCTTCTAGACGCTGTTGGCATTTGACGTTGTACTCCCTTAACACGCACGCGAGCAGCGTCTTGACGTTGCGCATGGCAAACTTTTGGCCTGCAAAATACGTCAAAAACGTCAAAAACGTCAAGTTGTGTCAATGTGACAATCAACTCACCAAGACAGTTCCTGGGCCCAGCACTAAAGGGCACAAAGGCATACGGATGCCGTTTGGCGCAGTTCTCGGGCAGAAATCGATCAGGGTCGAACTTGAACGGCTCGGGGTAATGGTCGGGGTCGTGGTGTAAATTGTACAAGCTAATGGACAGATTGGCGCCCCTTGGAATGGTATATCCATCTAAGACATTGGAGCTTGAGAGACCAACTGAGCTCACCCTGGCAGGCTTACCAATCGCGATGTCCTCGTCCAGGTTCCGGTAAATAAACGGAACGAAGCAGAAGCAGCGCAGCACCTCCCTGACCACCCGATCCAAATATTCCATGCGGGCCACGTCCTGAGGGGTCACCTTCCTTGTGGGCTCATCGCTGAAGATTTCATCCAGTTCTTCCTGGACTCGCGCCTACAGCCAAATCAAGCGTCAAGTGATGGCTGGGGTCTAAACCTTACCACTGGGCACTTACCAAGTACTCAGGATGGTTGCCCAAGGCGGCAAAGGCACAGGTGAGGGTGGCAGTCGTGGTATCGAACCCCTGAAACCCCCCAGGTTAGCACCAATTGATCCAGGAAAATCCACTGCTCACTTACTCCAAACATAAACGTGCTGACTTCATCTTCAACTTCCTCATCGGCGAACGGATTGCTCCTCTGGTAGTTCAACAGCAAGTCCAGGAAGGAGACCTTCTTCTTCCTCCCGAGCTCGTCCTCCTCAACGGCGAGGCCCCCCTGCGCCTCCAGCAGCCTCTTTCTCGTCTGGATGATGTGCTGGTTGAAACTGTGGATCACGCTGCAGCAGCGCTCAGACTCCCGCCCAACCGCCGTGTGCTTGAAGAGCCAGTCCAGGTTGTAGAGCGGGTTGGCGACGCGTCGGTAGGTGACCTGCAGGAAGCTGCAGCCAAACATTCCGTTAAGGCCCTGGACAATGTGCAGCCCACTCCCACTCACCTCATGATTGCGTTGGCGTATTCCACGCCCTCAGTGTTGTTGCCTTCAAGGATCCCCAGCTTGATTCCCATTGCGGTCTCTGCAAGTGCAAATTCGCTAGAGGTGTTATTAAAGGCCCAAGTCAAGTTGCTACCGGTTATGATATCCAGGCCAATTTTGGTCAGATCGCCAGTGATTTCGACGAATCCCTTGCCCTCAAAGCGCTGCAGGTATTTGGCCAGGCAGGCGCCCTTCTCCGCAAAGATCTCCCCATAGGAGTCCAGGATGTTGAAGTGGAAGGACGGCGTGATGATCTTCCTATGCACGCGCCATTTGGGGCCTGAAAGGCCCAGCGTCAGCCCTCAAAGTTGCACATCCACAACTAACTTACCACTTCCAGAAATCAGCCCCTGGCCCAGCCAGGGAAACAGATACTTATAGAACACCCCCTTGTTGATGTTGGTGTTGCTCTTGAACACCACCTGGACGTGTTCGGGCTTGTACAGGTGCACCACCGGCAGACTTCCGTACCAGTTGCGGAAAATTGGCCCCAATCGGAGGTGCCGATTGGCCATGGCCTGGAACAGGTCTGGAAGCGAGGAAAAACAATCGTTATCTTCTCATCTTTACAGTGGGCCATTGCATAATGCATGCTCTACACCAATCGGACCCGATAAGGCCAAGTGGTGCCACTTGAAGGCACTCGATTGGAGGAAAAAAATTGCCTTGTTCAGTGAGCAGGTGTGCAGAGATTTGCGTCATCATTGCTCCTACAACTAAGTCATACTTGCCTTCTCGCTTCAGGCCCCAGAGGCTAACAACACTGCCCACTAAGGGGTACCATTTGTCGCCTGGTAGCTGATCAATGTAGTAGGAAATCCTGCGGAAGGTCTTCCGCCTCTTGAGCACCGGCAATGCCAGGACCAACCCCAGGAAACAGACCACAACAGCAAGGACGAAATCCATCTGAAACTGTCCACCTTGAGCTGGGCTGTTGGGCATGAGCTTGTTGGTCTACGTACCTCTGTAGGACACTTAGTCAGTCACACACACAACACACCAAACTAAAGCTAGTGTGCTTTTGCGGGCTGATCGCGTTCAAGTGACTGGCTTCCGAGTCGGCACGTTATGATTTATATCAAATTGAGGCTACTGTTGAAGATTCATTGGTTGATAACGCGTTATCATTTGTTTGGCACTTTTGGTTCAGTCCAGAGTTAAGCGCTACTCGATGGTAAAGGGAGCATTCAAAGGTTCGATGGGGTTCATTCAAGGCTTAATTATTCATTGGGGGATGTTTTTTGGATGTCAGTTTAAGTCAGACTTCTGATTTTTGGTTCCAACTCTTCCCAGAGAAAATAGTCGCTAGGCTTCTTAGCCACTTACAGTCGAAAGCGTTTGGGCTTGAAAAGGTTTCCTTATCTCCTTGGAACAAGTGATTTTTTAAGAAATGGCCACTTGAAGCTCAAAAAAGTTACGCCAGGTGTATTTATTCCGTAACAATGAATTTTTCTAAGAGAAACAGTCCAACTATGTTGCATTTACACGAAAAACTCACCGATGTAACAGACAAACACATAGATTCTGCACTTATGACGCCGCAAGATCCAAATATAGCGAACGGTAAATTTAGCCGAGAATTCATTAACATCCCACGTTAGCTCGATTATTATTCCACATTAACCCCGTATTATATTCCAGTCGCGCCCCCCACATCCCAACATATCATTCCCCCCTGGTCAATTAACCCTGAAGAGGGACGCGCATTATTCTGCAGAGGATCGCTTTGTGCCATCGTTGCGGAGAACCGCAACTTTACCCTCAATCCACACGGAATTTTGCGTTTAGCCTTCAGCCGATGTGAATTATCCACTTTGTGGACACCATTTTTACTGTGTACTAACAATAAAGTAAGCTTTGCTTTTGGGGGTTTTCTGGCAAAAACATACAGCGGGAAGTTTCTTTGGTTGGCGGCGCTAAGCCAATTAATAATAATGGAATGATTTTTGCAAAGTCGAATGAACGCAAGCAGAACATGAAGTTGCGAGTTTCCCAGGCTCTGAGGCCGTTTTGAAAAATCAGAAAGATTTCTGATATTTTAAGCGACGGGGGTATCAACTTCGAACGCAGCCAGGCACTGCCATGATGCATCGCTCATAGGCTCGCATGGGTGCGAGTGAGAGATCCGACGCGAGCTACGTTCTGAATTGACAATCGGTGCAACTAGCGATTTCAGAGGAATTGCCGATTAGGAACAGTTTTAGTGTAAATTATTGTTATTCTTTTTTTACAAACTTCTTTTTGGGTACTTCGCCTCAAAAAATTTTGTCTTTAAAAAAGACAGAATTTCCTCACGTCTTTTATTACAGATTGATTAATAGTGCTCCTATTTCGCAATAAGAACGAATTACTTATCAAAAAGTAATCAAGAACTATCACCTAGAGGGTATCCTGCGACACACTTAGGCTCAAGCTGTAAGAGAAAATTCCAATTAGTAGAGAAATCAATTTGAAATAATATAAAAAAAAAATAATTCGTTCTCATTGCGAAATAGGAGCACTATTTTTCAATCTGTAATAGAAGACGTGAGGAAATTCTGTCTTTTTTAAAGACAAAAATTCTTGAGGCGAAATACCCCAAAAAAAAGAAGTTTGTAAAAAAATCAATCCGCCTCAACAATATAGAACTTATCTACAACTTATTGTTATTCTCGACGCAGTAAATGAATTTTATTATTTTCGTTGAAAAATCGGCAAAACCCATGGAAGTCTCACATTAGTATGCTCAAATGCCCAACCTGGAAAATCCCGCTTAATCACAAATCATTCGTATTCAGAGGGTCGATAGAAGGCTGTGTGTGTGTTCCACCCCAATAGTCGTTATCGCGGCAGGCGTTAATCATAGCCGCGCCCAAGGCATTCTCTATCGATATGGATGTGGGCCCCCCATCCCACATCCAGAGCTCAAAATGAGAAACGTCAAAGTTGGCTATTAATTTCCGTGGGTCTCCGGCCGGCCGGAAAACGGCCTTCACTTCCACGAACGAAAACGTGTCGATCGGCGAGTTTTTCAGCATCGAAATCTTATCAGCAACTCGTAAAACAATCGGATAGATCGTGACATCAGACGTACATCTGTTTATCGTTGCGATTGGAACCACCAAGTTGCCACATCAATTTCAAGGACCAGCTGGCACTGTTATTGTGGGTTCTGATGCAGGTGTGGGCCATTCTGCGTATCCATCAACCTGCCGAAACCTGGACCACACCTCATCTACATGCGTCGTCATCTGATGACAAATCATCGCCCACTTTCTCAAATAGTCAACTGTAGAATATCGCCTAACGGGGTTTTTTCAACTCATTCAAGGTCCATCGGCAATCAGCAGATTTGCACCTGCAGGTTGTTGCACTTGAGATTGTTTACCCAACTTCACAGGCTAACCGGAACTAATTCGACGCATAAATCCATTAAAGGAACAACAACAGCCGATCGTTCCTGTCATGGACGAGTCGAGGAAAAGCGGTTGAACAGTTTTCCACGTCCTTGTTAAAACATGGCTACAGTTGTTTGGACAAAATATTTCCCAGTTAATAAGGCCGAAATTGTCCCAATAGACGTAAACGGCGAGCAAGGGTGGATCCAGGGGGGGATCCAGGGGGGATCCAGGGGGATTCAATTCTTTATCCAACGATGCCAAAACGAATTCTGTGGCTCGAATGGTTCTTGAGAAACTTCGAAAAAATCAACGTCATCTTCAAGTGGATTTTGCAACTCAAAAAAAACCACGCAACTCTAAAACTTCTTGAATTCAAGCATTTTTTGAGAAAACTGCCAACATGTCCCCATGCATAGTTCACTTTCTAAAAAGGCCATTTATTTCTCTATAGAATGATGTACAAATGAGCGTTCTTGCTCATTTTGCTTCCGAGAAATAAGCAAAAATGGGACGGAAAACATGGAATTTTGGCATAATCTTGCACCTAAGTGTGTGATATTCAAATTTCTCTTTCTGGGCCAAAACTACTCGAATTTCCTCACTCACGTTGTTACGACTGAATCGAGTTTTCAATTCTCTATCCAACGATGCCAAAATTAATTCTGTAGTTCGAATGGTTCTTGAGAAACTTCGAATAAAGGCCATTCAGTTATCTCTGGAATGATATAAAAACGAGCGTTCTTGCTCATTTTGCTTCCGAGAAACATGCAAAACGGGACGGAAAACATTAAATTTTGCAATAATCTTGCGCCACCCTTGCA